TCCCCCCTGCACTAAATTAAGAACGGTCCTCAAGCAAAATAAACCTGAATATGATCCGAGGCTCAACTTGTAGTTGTTCTTCTCGCTTGCAACTGCAAACAATTCATATTCGGCGTGGACTTTAGTTCCATCTTCATCCCTCAGATCAACGCGAACCTTGTTCCAGTCGCTGAGGGTCAGGCGATGTATCTTGTCCAATCCGAGCCAAAACTCGCTACTCAGATTACCAAAGCCATTCTTGTAGTCCTCCCAACCGAGGTAGAAATTGACAGAGCCGTCCATCCTCTTCTGGATCACCGTCCAACCGCCACCGGCTGTCTTTTGGTCACAATATACGAGAAAAGCACCTGTGCCATCAGGGTCGATTTTAAAGACGCCACTGGTTTTGTGACCAATGTTATACAGCTCGGCACAATTCTTCTTGATAACTGCAAATAAGGTTGAAAATCATTGTGGAAGTACAGAAAAAAACTTAAACGCCAATGTACATGTCAACTTCTAACGCCCTGTAAGACATAACACTGTTCGCTTTAATTGATACACCATAGTCTTAAAAATTATAAAGCTGTATAGCATGATTCTATAATACGATCCAATCCAATGACAGTTTGTGGCAGACAGAATGCCAGCTCAATAGATCTACTTAAGACAGTCCCCTGTCCCCTCCTCTTGCGACAAGATCCAAAACTATACCACAATTCCAGTTTATTTCCGTCAAGCCACCGACCTCGAATTTTCCATTGATGTAAATGTTCACACGACGGTCTATTTTTCACATCGGCGAAGCTTTGTAATATCCAAAATTAGATACTTCAGGGGTTTAAACCGAAATGGCTCTAACACGTTACCGGAAGTAAATCTCAAACGGAATACACTTTGCTTGTGCCGATAAAGTGATCCTTCCCGTGTCAGCCTTAACGTCATGTCAGTGGAGAATGTGAGTTTACGGATCACTGAGTAAAACAACGTGAATTAACGTAGTTAATGCTAATCATGGGTGTCTCAAAAAGTGGACTTGTGGGGCTTGACTTGAACTGAAATACCGAGGGGACAAAACATAAAACTATCCCTAAGGTATCCAATCTTACCTTTATTTTTGGCTGTAGGTGTATTTCCTCCTCCTCCCGCCGCAAGTTGGTCAAACGTACACGGCTCAGAAGAATTCTTGTTGTCCGGCAAAACTGCAGGTCAGTAGGTAACGAATATTAGGTAAACGTCTGCATAACTTGTTCGTGACTTTTCTCCGTAAATAGATATAACTTTCATACTTATATTAGGAACTGGAGGTCGAGGTTCGAGGTCATTGGTAAATGGTGTACATGCTTACAAACAGATGGGATGGGCAATCACTAAATTCGATGATTAATAACCTTTATCTTAAAATGAGAGATCACAGCGCATAAATCTAAATTTCAGGCAAAATTTTGCTGCTCTTGAAAAAACATAAAATTCCATGCAGCTAAAAAAACGCCTTCAATTTGAAGAATACTTTTCTAATTTAACAAACCACAGTCATCTGATAGAAAAAGAAACATTTACCTTGCGTGTCGTCTCTCTCATTCTGCGGCAAAATGTTGAGATCCTTTCGAATGTCGTTCAGTTGTTTTTTCACATCCAAGAGAAGATTTTCGATTTTCTTGTTGGGTCCAGCATAAAAGTTGTTATTGATGTTGCACGTTTTGGAACTTGCGTGATTTTGTCTCTGCACGGAACCTTGGCAGATAACCAGTAAGTTAAACAGGGAAAAGGAGATGAAGACACCAAGAATCATTTTAGACAGCATGGTGTGAACACTTTAGTCGTTCTTGCTATGATAACAAGATTGAAGGCTGGAGTGGTTCTCGCTTGACTCTATGGATCTGGATTCCAAATTTATGGATCTGGGAGACGAGATCATCCAATCAGAAAAGAGAGAGTGATACCAGTGGTATCACTGAAACTGAAACAGATTTATCATAAACGAACACGTATTTTGCGTTCCAAAATGTTGGTTTTTTTTTCAGTTTTATTGGATAGCTGGCAGATCATTGCGATACTTCATACATCTCTAAGAACAAAGGTCATTTTAAAACAGATCAGGCCAGTGAAAGGAATACAGGATATGAAGAGTTAGATAAATCAATCAGCAATACAAAGTTCAGAAAAACATCGAAGACATTTTCTAAAGATCATCCTGTTTTGATGATGCAGTCGGTATTACCCATACATGGAAAGAAGCAGCCACACGGGATACGCAAACCCTTTATCCAGCCAGGATGGCTAGTGTAACATACAAGAAAAACGTAGGACTATACGCAATTACAACTGTTCTTTACTTTTTATTTATTTTCTTTTTTCTGTTTTAGTTTCTTCCATCCTTTGTTTATTTCTCGATTTTTTTTTATTCTCAGCTTTTGAAGAAAACAGATTAACCTCATGAAATTCAGACAACATGCGAATTCATGACAAAATTTATCCCAAAACCGCGTTTGGAGCAGGAAGCAGAAATAGGGGAAGACAAGGAGCGCGTGCCAGACTGATACATCACATACATGACAGGTAAAACAGCATTGTAAACAGGAGATCGTCCCGTTTTAAAGATGCTGTCACTATTTCCTAAAAATGGAAAGAAGTAGCAACCTCGGATATGCGCCTTTCTTTCAGCAAGGATAATGATGATCACGAACGAAAAACACAGGGATTTAACCAGAAAGTGGTACATTACAATCATCAGGAGTTTTAATTAACAGTCACAATTGTTTTTTATTTGTATATCTTAATTTCTTATCTTTCAGGCTGTGTTTCTTGCCGTCTTGTTTGTTTTGTTTTGTTTTGCTTTTTTTTTTAAGGGAAACAATCTCTGACCCGTGATCCGTTTAAATGATTTGCGTGACCTAATTCATTCCAATTGGAGCCGGCGACAGAGACGCAAGAGGGCAATTAAAAAGTAATTGATAGCCTTCAGTTATAATTTGATTTGTGATATAATCTTTTTCAATCGTGGTTTCACTACTCCCCCAATATGGAAAGATGTAGCAATACCGGATATTTTCAGCCGCGTGTTTGTGAGAGCGACACTCTTAAAAACAGATATTTTCATCAAACTTATAATAAATTGTTATTGAGAGAAATACGATTAATTAAGCTTCTAAAGTACATCCTTCTTTGAAAAACAAAGTTGGCTGTTATGTATTTGAAAAACTTCAGTGTAAAGGAAGAAGGATTGAAACGAAGAGACCTTGTTGTAACTGACTATAGCCCGGACACAACGAAAGAGCATTAATATTATATGAATTCTAGATTTTTCTACCGTCAAAGCCGTCAATAGTGTTTATCAAACTAGGCAGTCCATTAAAATAATTACAGCGAACACCCAAGACAAGTAACAACTGTTTCTAAATTTACCATATTTAATATTCTCCAGGTTTATTTACCCACACGACGCTTTGGACATTGAAGATCCAAGCAGTATGCAGGACGCATCACATAAGAAACTTCGTAACAGCCTTGTTCACGTGGGTGTCTCTATGGCTCAGTGGTGGAGCATTGGAAGGCGCATCCTGCGGTTCAATTCCTTATGGGTTCAGAATTTTTTCTTTATCCTAAACTTGTGACAAGACAAAAAATATCTTTCTCTTCTCAGTTCTCTATTTCATTTCATTTCAAATCCACCGAATCACATCTCAACTAAGATTAGAGCCAAGTAGTTCGGATTCTTAATCCAGACATAGTTCGATTTCCACACTTTGACTTTAAGCCCCTGCTTCTCACAAAGAGCTAAAAGCTATCAACTTTAAATAAAGGATCAAAATCCTATCTCTATCAACAGTTTCATGGTTCGTCAACAAACCACTCGTATCGCGGCATGGCGACTTTAGCAGGCCATTAAACTAAACACTGATAATTTTACCAAATCCATTTTTTGGCCGAAATGCTCCAGTTTTCAGTTTTAAATACCTGTACCAAGAAAAGGAAAGAAAAAGCAAAACGTGCTCACACACGGAAAACAGAAATTGAGGTTAATGGCATATTTGATATTTTTTTCGACGCGAAGAGAAAGTTTCGTGATTCTGTTGTAAAAAAAGATATCTTCTTCCTTTCCTTCTTCTTTATTTTCTTCTCCTTTATTTTCTTCTTTTTCTTCTGCTTCCTTTTCGTACTCTTCTTCTTCTTCCTCCTTGAAAATTTGATGATTTGCGAAAATGTGCAACTTTTCAAATGACACGTTGTCAGGGAAATTTTAAAAACCCTTATAAAATTTAATTTATCCTATCTTAGATTAATTAAGTAACTTTAGAAAGATTAGCAAAACATTTCTACATCGAGTTTCTAAAGAAACAAAAAAGGACAAAGTTACAGAACCAGTTGCAGACTCACTCCTCTGTGTAAACAGATTCGTAGTGATAAAACTGGACACGTTACTTTCAGCCTTTTATTTAGCCATTTTATAGTATTTTGAAATGCAAATTTATCATTATGTCCAGCGAAATGAGATTTCAACAAACTTCTTTTCGCTTTGGAACTCTTTGGCATTTGTTATCAGATATTTTATGAAGTCTTTTAAGCCTTAAAATTGACAAAAGTACCACAAGTTTTTAAAGTCACCGCTAACTTGAAATTTAAATGGAAAGATCGTTTTTTACTCCCGGCCATTATTTTTATTTTCAATATTTATGGCTTTATAATATTCATTGTGTTCTTAGCCGGAAGTGACCGTTATTTTACCTTTTTGGCGGATTTTGTCAGATGTGTGTTCTTTACCAGATCTTTCCTGTGGGTTTTAGTGGGTAACTCATTAGTAAAGGTGTTTCTATTGCCCGAGTGTAAAAATCAATCTTCGACGCTTATGTCGTTCTTACTGGAGCGATATTTCTCCGTTGTTCTTTAAAACCCTTTGCTTACTCATTTGAGACACCCTGAGTAATCCTTGTTGTGCTTTCCATTCCATAATTTGCCGTTTCTTCTTCACTGTAACCTTCTTTGTGTCGTGGAGAGAGAGATCGTTTCTCGAAATCTTTTTCGCGACCAAATCTCATACATGATCCTTCCTTGAGCCGGCGTTTAAAAGTTGAATTCTGATAACACCAGTAAACAGCAGTGAAAAGAACAGAAGTAACTGTTACTATCCACATTATTACCACAGGTAAATGAAGATCAGTTAAATTCACAGCCAAATCTAAAATAGACAACGTAAACGCCACCATAAACGAAAATATCACCATAGTCCAACATGGCGTGAGTTTCTCAGAGTTGAACGCCTCGCGTAACGTCGGCATTGCACCTTGCAACTTTCCTTTGATACCCAAACGGTCTTGTTATTTTCACACAGCTTTCAACTTTGAACTAATCGATTTCACCTCTGTTAGCGAAGTCAACGCGTCAAAATAGTCAATCAATCGGGAGGAAAACACGATCAGGTTAAAAAGAAAACACTTTCGTTGGTGATTCAAATTTACGAACAAAGCTAAATTTGAATAAAATTTACATTTTATCTCCACCACAAAGAACAGAATTTTTTATTTGTCTTGTCTTCTGTATATTTAAAAAGCGTGTTCTGAGAACCTTATTGCAACTCGGCAATTTTTTAAAACGGTTCATCCTTTTATTCAAAGGGTGTAGAAGATTGTTCGATCACCAATCAATCTTTTTCTTTTCTCATCATGTGAAATTTCGTCTTTGTTCGTCGTGATCGGAAAAAAATTCCGATTAAAAAACTTCGAATGAAAATTAGCAATTAGATCTTATGTATTTTTAAGAAAATTTGAAGATTTCATCTACAATTGTTTAATATTAACGCGCCAAGTGTATCAATGGTAAAACCCCCATAGGTTTTCTGTCAGTTCGAATTAAATCTTGTCAGCGAAGTCGTGTGTCGCGATAATCCCCTTGATCGATGATTATAATTACGATCTAATGGAGGAAAAAGCGTCAACATTCGAAATATGACTTATTTGAGAATGTAGTTTAATTATTGCCGGTTTTCTTGCGTTGTAAACAAATTGACCTTCCTTCATCACGCTAGAAATATATTACACCACAATATCGACAGAAGCTTGCGTCGCGCCCTTACTCCCGACCCAACTCTCTCCAAGTATTCTAATTAAACCATCTCGACAGAGGGCGGTTTGATTGTCATGTTTAACTCCGTCCCACTTATACCCGATAGTAATTTCTTTTGCCAAATATATTCACAAATAGCTTCGAATCAAATACCACTGACGAAAAAAAAAAATCCAGCAAGAGAAAAAAAAAAAGGAAAAAAAATGAGACATCTTGCACGACTTGCAGAAGTAAATAAAAATATAAACACAAAAAACCTCACAAGAGTAATTTTACTACCTATATTCCAAAAGTCGAATTCAATTCCAATCCACATTTTGCAAATCTCCTTAGCTGCTTTCTAGTAGATACATCTTCTTCAATTCAATGTTCTTCCTCATTCATTATTTAAGGGGTTGTGTCACAATTTGATTTCTTAACTATTTATGTACAGTAACATCAAATATTTGGCAGCAAAGGATTATTTTCCTCACAAGTTTGGTACTACAAAAGATGCCGAGTTATTCTAAAACCCTCTAGGCAAAACAAAAATCAACAAACATTTTTCTTCATAATATAAATACAATGAGAAGCATGTTGATCATACGAAAATAGCAAATAATCATATCCAAGTGATGGTACTCTTGTTACTGTAAGAAGAAAATGACCAATGAAAACTGGTTGTGCAACAATGGAGTGGTAACAAGGTAGAGACAATTAAAATATTTCCTGAGCAAAAAAAAAAAATAAAAAGCTGAGTGGTTGTAATCAAAAACTGTATGTACGATGACTATTCTAGGCTAGCTATGATACACAGCTAACAGTTTAAGGGAGATCTTTAGGTATTTATAATAATATTATGAAACTAATTCTAATGTCATATAAAAACACGCTACTCAAATTGGTCTATTATTTACAACTGGAATCACATGCCACTCCAATTCTCGCCTTTGCAATACATTTAGAAGTCTATTATTTTCATATTTGTATTGTAATGCCACTTCTTCTGAAATCTTTTCTTTTCATTTTGTTGATTCCTCAAAAACAGTGTAATCTGAAAAAAAGTGGAACAAAACAGGTGACAATTAGATGCCACAAGTAAACATAAGTTACAGTAAAATTAGCTGTAATATTTGCAACTGGTGCAAGTGAGATAACATCAAAATAATTACTTCATTCCCAGACATGTTTCATAATCTTATGCACACTCTTAAATAACAGAGGGTTTGAGCCAAAACACTATTCTTAGAGCAAGAATGTTTGACTGATTTTGATTGGGTGAAAAAGCCCTGAATGCATGTATTTCAAATGTAATGGTATAGTATGTAAAGTAACCATGTCTGCAATTCATTCACTCTTATCAGTTTGGACAGTAAGAAAGTCTAATTAATAAAGCACTACATTAGACACTTGGGTCTTTTTGTCACACTCTGAAAAAACAAAAACTGGTGCAGTTTCCTCTACATGCAATGTTCACAGACATTGTACATAGCAGTACTATTTTGCAGCAAAAGTAATACAATAACTCACTCCTAATGCATGATTACTTTAGTTGTTGGTTTGTTCTGAACAATGTTATCATAACAAAACCAAAACATGATCCTAAAAGTTCATTTATCTCCCCCTTCTCTTAATTTTGCTAAATGTGACATTTTCTTTCTACATAGGTGTAATCTGATGCAAGTAGAATAGTTCTGTATATATCTTGATTCAATGCGACCAGTATTCCCTTCAAACTTAGCCAGGAGAAACCATGATTTATATGGCTCTGCATTTTATATTGAGTGCAATTCTAAGTCATTTTTCAAGATAAATTATAATTGCTTACTCTCTGATATGTAAAGGGTAGTTAGTCAAGGCAGCACAACTTTTTCCATTATCCAATATATAAAAACCATCCCTTCAAATAATACTTTTCCCTGGCGGACTTTGGTGTATAAAATAACCAACAGGGCTTTTCAAGAGTGCAGTTTACCACAAGTAAAAAGGCCTGTACTTCCTTTAATTCCAGGGGCCTCAAGAAGGCAGCTCATAAATCTTATTTCTAAAGCAGCAGTTTTACCCTGCATTTAAATAAGGTTGGCATTTAATCTGAGTCTGGCATATAATAAAGAAACCACAGACATCTAAGATTTTGATGTGAAGTCATTTTGAAAATGCCACATTTCCTTTTCATCCTCATGTAACTTTTAGCAAGATAACTTCCTTCTTGTAAATCCTTGTCTTCACTTAAAGTGAATCATGAGAGGATTTACATATCACTCAAAGACAATTAAGTTAGAATGACTGAAAATTCATCCTTTTAATGGCATCACAGCCCTTTTCCAGAATATCATTTAATTTGAGCAGTTGCACACCTGTTCCAGAGTTTTCATTTCAGAAATTAAATAACAGAGGAACAGGGTCAAGTTAACACATACTAGTTTCTAGAGGTGAATAAAAAGGACTTCAAATCATCAAAATTCAGCCAAGAGGTCAACTTAGTGGTTTGAATATTCCACAATCACTGACATCTAATGAACAACCTTCTCACGGGAAGTATATGTCACATTCTCAGAGAGTAGAACAAAGGGGAGAAACATCAATATCAAAACTCATTGTTTGGAGTTGCCAACAGACAATGCATATTTTAACTTGAAAAGGAAGAAAATTTTCTTCCAAAGACACTTCATATTATAATCTATGATAGTAATGTTGTATACCTCTGAACTCTTCAACATGTCCTTTTCATGAGTTCATGACAGTTTAGTGCTGAGTTTAAATATAAAATCAATGCTAAAATATGGGTTTTGAAATTCTTAAAGTCAAATTATTCTCGCCTACAGTGTACGTAGGAATTACGTTATAAAGATGAAATATCTTTACACATCCTGTTCTTTTAATAATAACGGATACAAAATTTTTAAATAACACTGCCTGACAGTATCACAAATAACCTTAAATAACACCAAAGTTAAAATATCTGCATGGCAGTAGCGATGCAACGAAAGCGAAAATTGATTGAGCAAAGTTGCTTGAAGTGCAAATAAATTTCATCAACGAACTTTGATTACTTAAACTCTCGTAAAATAAACGAAAAGGAAAAAACAAAGCAGAACTTACTGTATTCTACAAGAATATACGCGATTAACTCTGCCCGCCCACTGGAATTCCTGCTGGAGTGCACGTTACTGGTACGCTAATGCCTTTATATCCACCTTTCGATTGCATTTGACATTGAATCGAACCGAGCTAAAACGAGAAAGAAAAGAAGATTAACATCGTGAGATTGTAGCTGCCCTCAGTCAACACTCGCTATTGATAAAATAAACTAAAATTGAAAGAGAACAACATGTATCGCCACGAGGAAATTCGTAGTTTTACTCGAAAGAGGTTGGTTTACAAGAATGCCACAAAATCAAAACTGCGTTCATTTCGAAGTCAATTGTTAAACGTAAATAAATGACTTAACAAGAATTAAAGCCTACTTCCTCAGAAAGTCAAAGAAGGGTTTTAATGAGAGAACAATGTCGTTAATTTTAACTTACATCGGATCCAGAAGCCATGTCTCCGCTGCCGATGTGACCCGTGTGCTTCAGATCAAAATCAAAGATTCGAAGTTAACCACTTTAGATCTGAACTGGCACGTAAAAGCAAGGACTAATCGCCGAAATAGTGCACTTACTTTGAAATCCATGGGTTCTCCAATCATACTTCTGTCTATTCTTCGTCTTTTCTGCAAATAAAGAGAGAATGTTCAGTCTTTGGATCGCAATATTGAATCGATGAAATGGTTAGTCGAACCAAGGAATGAAAAGACGAGCATATTCGATCTACCGGCGGCGGCTGTTCCGTGACACAGCAAGGAAAGCACAACCACAATTCGCTCATTTTACTCATCAGGTTGATCCTGACCGATGCTGGCCACAACGAAGAGTTTTTTTTTACCCAAACTGCAGACGTAAAGTCATCGCGACTATCTCAAAACATAATTGCTCTCCACGGTTCGAGAAACAACCTCGGTTTCCTTCCCACACTTCCACGAGGGTGCGGTCGTCTTACCCAATAGCATTGTGGGTAGCAGAAGTCACATGCTAGTTGACTTCCGGTTTGCGTTGTTTGAAGTATTACAAACCACTGTTTCCTGAAGTTTACTGAAGCATGCATTGACAAAACTTACAAAAACTAACAGCTACATCATCGAACATAAAACACCATACAGATTCATACGTGGAACAAAATAATCATGGAGAAAAATTATACAAACTTTTCACAATGATGTCATTGTTTAAGACTGAACTGGCACTTTCTAAAGTACGGTATCCTTCCAATATTGAAAACCCAATAGGATTTTAAAACAAACTGAAATAACACGCCATTTTACAGACGTAGCAACGTTGTTTTTATCGGTATTCAAAGGAGAAACAACAAAATAATGTTACGCTTTACTGGCGGAAGGCGCAGAAATGGAAATTCACGGCGTAAATGACAAACAGATGTGAATCGAAATTGATGACAAAGTAAGTTCTTCGAAGCCAATCACAAGGTATCCGGAACAGGATCGAAAACTTCGTAAGAGTGGTTAGCTCTTACGCATGCTTTTTTCCAAACTGTTTGCCACCGAGGGGGTCTGACGAAGAGTCACTAAAATTTGCTCCAGGGCATTTTGTTAAGGAACAAAGCTCTTCTGGAATTTTGTAACACATTCTCTCGCACACACGTCTTAATTATTACGAAGTTGTTAGTGATTCTTTCAAACCCATAATAGGTAGGAGATTGATACGTGTAAATCCGCGTTATCTGGTCTTTTCTCACCTAGAGTCGAAAATTTGACAACCAAATTATTATGAAAACCACAATACTTCGTCGCGGACATTTAATTTAAGTTTTGTTTTGTCCAAGCCGAAATGAGCCATGAAATAAAGTCCAATCAATGATATAGAACGATAACTGAACAAAATCTTTGGAGAGGGTAAAACAATTTTAACAGATTCATGTAATTTCCATATTCGCCATTGTGTGACAGAGAGCAACAAGTCTGACAGGGTGGATTGTTATGGAAGGTTCGAAAACACTGCTGAACCTTCCCGAAGTATTTCTCGCTTTATACCTTATGCCTTGAAGTTAAAACTGCAAGAAAATGGCGTACTATTTGGAGCGATACATTATAAAAGTAAAATTACGACAAATGACTGTGAATTTACTCAGCATTTAGCACCGAACGCAATAAAGATTTGCCACGCTCTCCAGGAATGGAAATGTGCGAAACATGGGCAATATTTGCCAAAGTATTTGATATCAAACAGTCATAATGTTGCCACTTACTAACGTAAAACATTCCACCGACACAGTGGCGCTAGATTCCTTAAAGTTGGACATATATCGATCGAATAGATCTCGGTCCTGTATATGCTGAGTATTTCAAAAGAGTTGATTTATAATGTACCCATGAAGGTTACACAACTTAAGGCGACGTACATAAATAATCATCAACTGGAACCTCGGCCAATTTGGTAATAGAGAATTGTAATTTCGAAGACTACATTCGCTACTTACCATTTCGGGTGCTCGGGACCGGGCGCCGAAACACGAACCAAAACTCATCGCCATGAACAAATTGTCTTCCTCGTAAACACTCGCAATAATCCTTCAGGATCTGCTCACGAAATTCTTTGTAGAGCGCTTCGATGAAGTAAAAATCTTGATTAAAAATGGGGTTATTTTTCTGTGTATGGATTGTGCTAGCAATATGAAAAAAAAAACTGAAATGGCTGCGGCAAGAGACCCTGCAGGCGATGTGAATGCGACATGCGCTACAATTTTCAGTGAGATCTGTTTACAGCTTGACAACATGTGAGTATGCGTTAGAAAGCTCATTAGCATTCCAATGAGTCAATAATTAGAAAACCATTATAAATAGCCTACCCTCCCCTTCCTGTCTTTATCCGCATATCGCGGTGATTTGGCAAACATTCAACGTTTCGAGATTGTTATTAATGAAATGAAAGCCCATATGGTACATTTCGGAGTTAAAAGAACACTCAGAGAGCCCCGGTTTTCGATGGAGGATACAGAAAATATGTCTGGGCACATGTTTACATGAGCTACTCACTCAAGGGGTGGGAAAGTGAAAAAAGAAAGGACAATTGATTATGTTACCTTGCCAATTGTATTCCCTGGAGAGTTTGAGGTTATGTAAGGTCTAGCTGGGACGTGTGGCAAATCGGAGACCATTCTAAAAGGGAAAAAAAGGCTGGTTTCAACTAAAACATTTTTGACTTTTTTAGCCGAAGCCTTTATTTAATTATTTATTTCATTTCATTTTCTATGTGAGGCGGGGGGAATACCTTTAATCATGGTATCGGAGATCCTTACAGCGGTCAAAAATAGACGATGAATGTGACCTTTCATGTCAGATCACAAATGAGGCTGACTGCAACTATGTAAAAACTGTTAAGACAAAGGACGCGATGACAGGTACGAGAAATCGGAGTAGAAGCGTAGAAGTCACGCGCAACACAGGGTTTTATACCCAAATGAAAGTTGCTCTCGCCAACCTTTCTTAGTTTAACTCATAACTTAAATGACTGCGGAGCATATGGACATCACGAGTCGACTCATTTCTAACCTTTGCATTAGTTTAAAATGAAGCTTTGAAATACAAATCGTCATATGACGGCAATGACAAGCTGTGTGAACTTTAGCCTGAAAGATGGCATCTGAAAGTTCTTTAGTCCTCATCGATCGACAGATGATAAAACACTAATACCAGGTTTCGAAAGCAACGGGCTTCCGAAAGCAGAAGTAAAAAATTGTGAAAGCTCCCGTGTAAATTGAGATCCTAGAATTTTTTTTTCTCTTTAATCGGAAACAACGAATATGAAAGATGAAAGTTTTTACACGTGCAAAAAAGCTAAGAAGTCGACAATAAAGAAAAAATCATCACGACAGATGTTGGCTATTAATTAATATGGACGAGCTAGGCAGGGATCAGTGACTTCTTCAACTGATACTGAGGTGTTTGTCATGTTTTAATAGGAATTTATCTGCATATTACGCCATAAACATACTCTATGTTAGATAATTGTTTATGTTGTTAGATAATAGGCCAAATAACAGTGTAAACACAACTTGTGATTGGCTCCTACTCATGATCTATTCGAGGATAGTCGTATAGATGCCATTAACATCTACAAATTTTGCTTCTTTCTAATAAACATAAAACAAATAGTTTCCTTATTACCGTTGGTCTGTTCCGTAATAGTTCACAAAAGACCTCAAATTGTGGTAAGACTATCAGTGACACACTGGGCTACGCCTCATGTGCCACGTGTTTGTTCTGATCATATTTTGACGTTACCTGTGATCTTTTACTAAATAGACGCACGGAAACATGAAATATGTTTGTAAAATAATTGTTTGATAGTTTCTTAAATATAACGTTCTTCTAGTGCTGATTGGAATTTATCAGAAAAGCTATGAAAAGATCTTCTTTGTGTGTATACTAAACAACTAGTAATAAATAAGTCTCTAGAGACGATTCAACACAGAAGTAATAAGTCAATCTAAGGTTCATTAGAGGCCTCAATGTAAGCAAGAATAATCTCCTTTGGAACTGGTTAGAATAATATGGTCTATAAACATCTTATAGAACCCAAGTTCTAAGATGGTCTGAGAGATCTGATAGAGCATTATATGTATCAAGTTCACAACAGTTGGCCATTTCATCTGTCTTTCTTTTCTTCCTCTTCTTCATCTTCATCAACTTCATCTTTTCCCAAACCCTCATCTTCAAAGTTTTGGTCTGAGTCTGGTTCTTGTAGGAACGAGTTGTAGAGACATACCACCAACAATTTAAGTACTGGTGTGATCATTAGACCAAACAGTATTCCCGCAATAAAAATCATGGCAGCTGCATTTTTTCTCAGCATTATAATGTGCTGGTGATGGAATAAGAAGTATTAATTTCACTCGTCAAAGTCACTAAATCAGAACTTGTATTTGCTAAAATTTTATCTAAGTTTAAAGTTTTTCAAACCAGTTCAATTCTTTGCTAATCCTTACATGAATTTCATTAAGAGAGCTATGTTTTATCTCA